TGTATATGTATATATGTATGTGTATGTGTATGTGTATGTGTATGTGTATGTGTATGTATATGTATATGTATGCCTTTGCTTGGAAAGCAAGACCAGGTGAATGGTGGACATGGAAACATGATGAGCCGGTCATCCTGAAGATTTAATTCTTAATCCAGTCCCCTGAACCCAGTATGACGAGCCTGGCCTGCGTGTGCGAGAGTTAGAGTCGAAACCCAGTGCCGGGACGAGAAGGATCTCGTCAGATGTGGGCAAGTTCACTTCTCTGGCGACTACACTGGGTTTGGATACTTTGCAGGTGCCGGGCAATCAGTGTGTCGGCTTTGAGCAGGGACCGAAGATGAGGAACTTTGGATGGGGTTTCAGAGAGTTGAATATAGGCATCCTTTTGTAGGCAAGCCTTTACAAGGGACCCTGTGTTGCTTCGGAAACCCCCCTGAATGCCGTATAGAGTCCTGAATGGATTCAGAGGATTAATACTTAAACCCTAAACCCCAAACCCTCTACGCTTCTGTCCTAGGTACAGGGGCAGGATTCTGGGTTTCGGCGTCAAGGCTCAGGGTTGAGGGATGCTTCGGCTTTGAACTGCGAGGCTTTAGGGCCTTGATTCTTGTGCCTACCCCCATGTGTATTCAAGGCATAATCGATAATCTCCCCAGTTCTTCAGCCCACGGACAAACTGTCTACGATCCAGTAGAGAGGCCTCTGCTGCACGGCTTTGGCCCAATGCCGAAACCTCTGCCCCAAGACCCAAAATCCCAACACCCAGGCCCCAGACCTGAAGACCTGAAGGCCTGAACGCTAAACCCCAGCAACAAAAACACATGTTCCCTACCAGTGGCTAAAGTCAGGTGCTCATAAACCCAACCGCATTAAGGCAAACATTAGCCAACACGAACGAACCGAGGGACAACACCCCTGAACCATGTGAAACGCCGTACACATCATAAAGCCATTGGTTAACCCGAAACCCGAAACTATTAAACCGTAGGCTGGCATTGACCTTTACTTCTATGCTGCGCTTCTGAGGCCTGGACGGGGACTTTAAAATACGTCACAGCTCCTGACATGTGCACGGTGTGATGTCTTTTCCATTCTGACCAGACCAGTACGGGTAGGAGTCTACAGTAGGCGCGACAGCTTGAGCTGTTGAAGCAGCAAGGACGCTGTCGCCGGCGCTGGCACGCACATCCCTCATCGGGGCGCTTGTGGGGTTGCTGGAATCATGTGATTAGAGGGTGTCGAGTTCATGGCTGCAAAGCTTCATTCAGAGCTTGAGTATGAAGCATCATGAAGCCTTAAAACCAGAACTCTTAATCGGGGGTTTAGAGGTCTTGGGTCTTGGGCGTTACGTTTTGGGGTTCCACCTTGTGCGTTCATCGCGGCCGCTCACGTTGCGCAACTGCCGTTTTCGTCACATGATGCTTGAAAGTCTATGCGCTCCAGAGAGTATAAGAAGCCCTGCCGCCTACCAACTTCGTACCCGAGCCCTAGCCCGGAGCCCAAACATCCCACCCTAAAGAAAAAGCCGTAGACCGAAAGCTTTATCTATTCGTTTCGCCGAAACTCTAAGCCGCAGGATCAGCCCAGCCCTCCCAGCGACTGAACAGGTTCGCCAAACCCCGCAAAATCCGAAGTCCTAAACCCTTACAGCCCCAAAGCTGACCCATACCCCTCAACCCTCCACGCTTTCTGCCCTGGCATGCTGGATAAAAACCCCTGAGCCCTAAATCCTAAACCCCAAAGCCCTAAACCCGAATGGTAGAAGCCGAACCTTTGCCTGCCAATCTTGAAAGTCCCGTCATCAGAGGACCCTCGTCGTGCAGCTCCTCGGCCGCGACCTCCCATCGCTCCTTGTTTGGCTAGCAGTGCCCTTTTACCCCTTTGTTGTTTTAGGTTTAGGCTTTTAGACTTTAGGGTCTGATTCTGAGTACCGGCTTTGCTTGTGAATATTGAACCGTACGAAATCGGTGCCTTGTTGTTGAGGGGGAACGGAGAACCTGGTGCTCAAAGCGCAGAACCCCCCTTCAAAGCCCCTTTTTGATACCCTAAAGCCCAAGCCCCAGCACCTACAACTCAAATCGCAGAAGGCTCTATGCCGCCGAGCGATCGGCAGATGGCAAGTTCACATATACGCTGACGCGCATGCGGGACCGCTGGGTTTGGAGATAAGTAGCGAGGTTGCAGGGTGTAGGGGTTGAAGGGTTTCAGAAGGGCCGCAAGGGGTTAGAGGGTTTAGTTAAATTAGGGCTTGATGTTAACCCGGCTAGCATCAGAGACTTGGCAAAAACTAGACTTTTAAGCACGTCGAGGTTCAGTGGGAATAGAGGCCGATTGGCGTATCGTAGAATCATAGCAAAATTCCATCTTTAACACCTTTTCCGAGGGATTTTGGGCTCGTCTGGGCTCTGTGGGGTGTACGTCGAAGTTTGGTTTTTCCTCAACCCGAAACCTTAAACCCCAGCTGAGCCAGTTCGACGCTGGGGGACTTCCGTTTCCTTACCCAAGCGGAGTCGTCAACGGAGGTTTCTCGGGCCCCTGGCCTTGCCCTGGTCGGCGGCTTCGAGCAGTTGGGAAAAAAGCCCTTAGCTCACAGATACTGGAGCCCGCGGGCTCGGTTACTTATAAAAGGTCTTGATGATGCTGATGTTGATGCCGGCGGTGATGGTGAAGTTGTTGTTGATTATACGACACGGATGGCACATTGACGACTGCGAGATAGAGATCCCCACCACCAGGGCACAAAGACCCAGCGACCAGGAAAATGCTGAGTCGATCCTTTTCTACGGTGGCCAGCGACAGGACCCGAGATCTCTGTCGTCTGACAGCAGCTGGAATGTTAAGACTTATAACCACCCATTTAAAGCTTTGACCTAGACAATTCGTTCCAGCAAGCGACTGTCATGTGTGTCCGCTGTGTACTGTGGCTGTCCAGTCGAGCTTATATTCTGCTTGTGTTCTTTCGGGTTGTGTGTGTTTTCTTGTTACCCCCTCATCTGACACATGATCTCCCTCTGCTCCTCACATTGGTCTCTTCGGTCTTGCCTCGAAGACTGGGACGAAAGCCCAAGGCCTAAACTGCGAAGCTCTAAGCCCTACTAGGGCAGTGGCATGCAAGCTGCTTTGGGAATCGGATCGGTGCGCATTAATCCCATCCCGAAGCCTCAATAGCCTAAGGCCTAGGCCTAAACCCTGAAAAAACCCACCCCAGTCCCAAAGCCCATCGCCAAGAGGAGACAGCGCGGGCAGATGAGGTGCTCAAGCTTCGACATCGAACCGCTCCTTGTCGCCGAATCGTCGGGGCTTTACGGCTGTGGTACCAGACGGCTACTGTTCAAGGTAATTACCACCGCACGGGAAATTAAGGGTATTTGAGGGTACGCTCAAGTTATCAGGGTACTATAAGGGTTACTCGTAGGTCTTAAGGGTTTCAGGGCTTCAAGAGTTTGGGGGGGTGTTAGCGTTTCGGGCTCGAGAGCTTTAGAGCTGCTTTGGGTGGTGAGGCCAGGAAGTTAGTATAGAAGCCTAGTCGATTACCTATATCATTCCTCAGGGTTCCTTATTGTAGATGTACCATAAAAGCCCAAAGTCCTAATCTGTGTATTCAGGCCCATACATGAGGCAGAGTGACGGACGGTATCCCTTCTGGACTGCTCGTCATCAGAATCTTGCAGTCAATCGCACCACTCGGGAGAGCAGATCGAACATCACCGAACGTCCCTGGTGCCAGGTACACAGTTCACACCAACACCTCGAGAACATCAGACCCGGTAATTTACAGATGCTCCCTTCCGAACGGTTGAAATCGAACGTGCCAGTGCCTAAGCTTCAAAGCCCTAACCAAGCCCAAGCCCAAACTTCTGTGCCTAGGAATGGGACCGCTTGGCCCAGAAAGACCTCGTCCAGCTCGTAGGGGACCAGTATCGCCAGGTTGGGGTGGGGGTGGCGGAAAGTTTTTGGGGAGTATACCTGGTTTCCAGTTGAAACTCACTTCTAGGCATGTACCTCAACTACGGGTCGCAGTTAAAGGATTTGAAAGTGGACTTTGGATGCTTCTTGCTAAGAAAAGGTTGACGGTTGAAGCCTGATTCAAGAACTTCAAAGCACCAGACGACCCCCCAAACAACTCCAATCTTCGAAGCCCCCTCATCAAATCGTAGAACCGTAGAGAATCTGCCTTCATGAAGCTCTCTAAGTCTCTAATCTCAAACTCTGATGCCAAACCATGTGGCCCCCAACCAGCCACAAAGATTTGAACTCGAAAGTCGCAAACCACCCTCTGCTGCTCTACAAAGCACCAGCCCAATTCCACCAACCCTGCCTCCCCCTTCACCAAAAACATGCTTTATCATGCTTATGAGTAGAGCGATCTGTCGCTGAGCTTTGGCCGCTCGAGGATGTGTCAGCTGGCCCTAGGAAACCTCCTTAGTTGGTCAAACCTTTGCCCTCGAACAAGCCTTGCGGAGTCCCTGCAGTGTTGGGGCTTCGGGTTCTTCTGCGGGGGGGCCATTTGCACTACCTTGATTGTCTCTCAGCGGTGTCGTCAGATGCTTTTCACTGTCATTCGGGACCTTGCAAGGCCAGTGCCCTTCCCAGGCCCGGAGCATAGATTAGCTGCCTAAAGGTGTATGGGCCCCAAGTCCACGGCTGCCACCACGTATTCAACTTCGGCGCAGGTGACTGTGACAGTTGAGGTTTCAGTGCCGGCTGTGGAGAGTGAGACTACAGAGTGGATAGTAGTGGAACCACCTGTTGAGCAGTTGGATCCTGCGTGCACGGCTAAGCAGTCGGCAGGCTGAGGCCACCCGTGAGCGCATTCTTGCAGCCTGGGAAGCTGGACAAGCAACCCGCAACATCGAGACAAGACGGGAGGACGTGATCGGCCCTCCAAGCTTGGGAATCTCTAACGGAGTGTGGCTTGGTGTTCCCAACAAGTCCCTGGGGTGTGTAAATCGCAGGAGGACAATACTTCGTACCGAGCGCTCTACAACTCTACAAGACTGATTCCTTTTCCCTCGCAGGCTGAGGCCGAGGTGAGTTCCGTTCGGTGCAGTGATGCCGTGGCGAGCTTTAGGAGCGAGAAAATCGGCTACCATAAAGATAGCTGAGGAGTCCAGTGATCCGGAATGGATGCTGCTACGCCTGCCCATGAAGGGGGGGCAATACCGGTCGCGGCCTGGTGGATTGATGCTAGCCATCAGCGTAGGGTTTTTCAAGGAGACCGGCTGGAGGCAGGGTCCATCCCGGGATTTGTGGAGGACCTCGGCCCGATCAACCGGGTTCAAGTCGAAGGCGTGCCCGACGATCTCGATGCCGAGGCAGAGGAGGTCGAGCTCGTGCTGGTCGATTGGCCTCAGGCGTACTTCAAGTATTTGCTGGGAGGTGGAGCCAACCCGAGCTGGCCAACCGGTGCAGTCTTTCCTTCGACTGCCAACGCCGTGTACAAGAGCCTCAACTACGAGCAACTTGCGATGCTGGCACGAACTTGGGTGCAGAATGGGCAGGGGCCTCACACCGATGGATATCAGACGGCACTGGAGAAGCCTCCAGCAACCTAGCGCAGATTTTGGCACAGACCCAGGATACGGCGGCCCAGGTGAAGGAACTGCATAGCGAGTTGGACGAGCTGAGGGCGAAAGGAGCTACGCAGCCGGAGGTGGCGTCGCAGGGCGCGACAACACACTCGGCTTTGAAGCTGGCAGCACAGATGGTCGGCGCAGCTCCTCGCACGAAGGAGTTAGTGCCAGATGCATCCCGACTATTGGCCGGAGGAATAGGAGACGACCGCGCCCTCGAGGACGAAGAGGAGGGCGTCAACGACATGCCTCTGGATCAGCTGCTCAAGGCGGCCTTGGTGGGGCTGTTGGATCGCTAAAACTCGAAGGCCAAGAGCCCGCTCGACCGGCCCTCCACTCAGCCTTACAGTGGAGGACTCGGAGGAAGAGGAGAGCGATCCGCTACGCCGGTTAAGCGGTGCCAAGGGAACAAGGCTTTTGGAGCATTTTCGGCAAGCCATATGGAGGTGGACGCACCGGGCCCACCACAATGGAGCGCTACATCAAGGAGAAGCTTCCAACTGGATCAGAGAAAAATCTCGGGTACATGGTTTGGGGAGTGGGCAGAGCACGGACAATGCTGAGGCCAGGAGAGACTTCAAACTTCAAAAGCTCACCTCATCCTGCTGCTGTTGGTCTCCGCAACAGAGCAGTACAGGTAGCTTGGTGCCTTACTCGCCAGACTGCTCCAGCTTGCCCGATTGAGGCAGGACCACGCCCACAGCCGTCTGGCGCACGCAATGTGGATCGCCGCGGTGACGGCAAAGTTGAGAGACGAAGAGGTTTTGACAAAGAGGCGAGTGGCAGGCAACGAGCCCGGCAGGCCAGATCGTCCACCTCGAGGTCGCGGTCGAGGCAGGGGCAGCCAACAGGCGCCCGACAAGCAGCAGGCATAAAGCTTGCTGAGTGGGGGGATTTAGCCCATGCATTGTACAATGGTGCACGGGGTTCCCGCGCGAATTTTGGAAGGTTTCTGCGCAGCACTTATAAGCGGACTGGCTTTTCGATCTCGCCATCCCCGGAGCCGGAGCTGTTGCCATGTCCGATCCCGTTCCCTTGAGAACATGCTCCCACCTCGGGGGTTCCAGGCGCCAGTCGCGGTTTAAGCGACGACGGGCCCTCGAGTTGATGGTCAACCTTCAGGTGTGCGCCCTCAACTTTTGCTTTCTTGGTGCTCCTTCTGCTTGCCCGGTTCGGGGTCGTAGGGGAAGTCCTTCTAGAGAGCAGTCTGCTATGGTGCAGAGCTTGTGGGATCGAAATTGCTCGATGTGCCGCCTGGCTGGAGATCTTCTATGGACAGTCGGAATTAGATAGTTTTTCCCAGCCCGTTGAGTCCTTAAGGGAAGTGGTCTATGGCACTGCCAAACAACGCACTTTTTCTCCAACCACTGGCATCAACGTACGCACGGAGGTAGTGCCTCTGGTGGCTAGCAAGGTTGCCTTCCCAGCAGAACCTCATGGCTTTAATGCGGCCCCGTTCTTACCCGAGCCTTTTAGGTCTGCGTATGTAAGCCCGCAGAAGCTGTTGCAACCGAGCATGCCATCAGTGGCGGTGCCTCCCACCACGACGAATCAAGGCAAGTTTTGGCATCTTTGCTGGAGGTGGGACTCGGTGGATAGGCTTCTTTTAGCTCTTGAGGACGAGGTAGATCCTTCGTGGGTAAGTAACCTTTCCTGTTTGGAGAAGCCCGATGGTGAGCTCAGGCAAATTATTGACAGGAGGCCAAGAAATTCGCTAGAGATCCCGCCGCCAGCCGATGCACCCAAAATGGGCCACGCTAGTGTTTTCTTGTCGCTGAGTGTCCCGGCAAAAGGTTGCATCCGGGGTTCGGTTGCTGACCTTAGGAATTTTTACCATGAAGTCGAGGTGTCCACGGATCGAGCTTTATCAACACCTGTAGGTCCTAAGTGGTTCCTTCGGGAGTTCTGGGGATCAAGAGCACTGGATCAGCTGAGGCAACGTTTCCCGGAGATTTCCCTTTCTGCAAAGACACGTGTGTACTCATGTTTTGCAGGTTTGTCCATGGGAGATCATTGGGCACCATGCTTCACTCAGCTGTCGCATGAGGAGATGTTGAGAAGTGCTGGTGCTTTGGTGGAAGACGAGCATCTTAGGTTGGGATCCCCGATTCCTAGGTCCCCTAAAGGCCATTACACTGGGGTTTGCATTGACGACAAACTGTCAGTACAGATCTTCCCCCACCATGTACCAGCACATAGGACCGACTTGCTTCCTGATTGCAGCGACTTGGAAGCCTGCCGACAAGCCGACATAGCCTATGCCAAAGCTGGTCTAGCTTATCACCCCAAGAAGCGCAAACGTAGGGCCGATGTTTTCTCAGCTTGGGGCGCTCAGTTTGATGGTGATACAGGCATTGTCGGCATGGATCGGGCCAAGTTGTCGTTCCATACGTCGCTTCCGGTTGCGAAGGGTGTTACTTCGGAGCATCTACTGCCGCAAGTCCTTGGGCTATGGGCGTTTTGATTGCAGTTTCGCAGACCTCTTTTCTCGGCTTTGGAAGTTGCCTATAACACGGGCCACCTTACAGGCTTGCCCCATTCCCCATTTAGGATGTCCCGGGATTTGCAGCAGGAGTTGCTTTTGTTGGCCATTCTGGGCACACTCGCCACAACTGATCTGAAGGTCCAGCCGGGCCCAAATGTGTATGCCACTGATTCTTCACCTGACGGCGCTGGTACTGTTCGTGCAGGAGAGGGCAGGCAGTTACTTCAGAGTTGTATAGGCGGTCAGATACGCGGGGGTTTTACACTAGGCTCCTGTCGGCTCCGGGTGCCGCCCTTCACGAGCTAGGTCATTCCCCTGATGAGCCGGAGGATTGAAAAGACATTGTGTTCATAATGATTCTTCTGATGTAAGTGTCTGCCCTGCCAACGAGTGCCTTACACTGATTGCCGATGGTTCTTGGTCTGAGCTGGACTTGGGGTTTCAGCAAAGGGCTCTTTTTGATCGGTTTCACGCGTCACTACCGGACTGCCTTCATTCGAGCTTGATTTCATTGAAATTTCCACCGGCTCAGCCAAGCTATCCAAAGCCATGCTGGGCGAGGGGTTTAAAGTGGGACCTCCCATAAAATCCAATCACGATGGGAATCTCGATGGTAGCCTTTTAGCTTTGCTCCTATCTCTATCCCAAGCTGGTACCCCCTGCATTCGGATAGGCTCTGCCCCATGGGGTCTCGATGTTTTGGATCTCGATACAGCTCGGGGCAATTTGGTGGTTCATCAATCGCCTTTGCTGTTCAGTGCCAGCAGGCTATTGTTGAAACACCCCCAAGCTCCCGTGGTGGCGGTCGTGCAGAGCAGCAGGCACAGAAGTTAGAGCGGACATGTGTCGTTTTGGGTCACCTTTCCTTTGTTGTGCACCTCCAGTCTTTTCCTAGGGTTGGGTCGTAGGTGTACTTGTCAGAACGCTCATGTCCGCCGGACAAACAAACTGCCTGCTGATGCATCTGAACACCCAGAGCCGTTTTGCAGTGAAGTCGCACGTATCGCACTAAGTGTGGCAAAATTCAACGGGGCACAGAGCAGATCTTCTCGGCATGAGTCCCAGTCTTGTGAGAAGGATGCCGAACCCTTGAAGGATCATAGGAGGTCGCAACGCTTTGTGAGTCATCTGTGGTGTACGCACTTGGTGGAGGTGTCGAGCCTACAGGTTCAAGCATCCTAATCACATCAACATTTTGGAATCTCATACCCATAAGACGCTTTTGAAGCTCGCGCCTATGCGCTCCAGAGCAGTGGTGTTCCAGGGCTCGATGGTCACCTTGGGTGCAAATGCCAAAGGTGGGAGTTCTAGTTTGGCTGTTAACCGCCTGATGCAGAAGTCTTTGGCACTGCAGCTTGGTAAAGAGATTTACCCGGTAGGCATCCATTGCCCCACATGGGCCATTCGAGCGAGTTCGAGCGGACGACCCTTCTCGACGCAAACGGCTGCGTCCAAGTAGACTGCTTGTGCCGTTCTGGCTTTTAGGTTTGAAACGAGGTGCCATCTCTGAGGCCCAAGATGGCTTGGATCAGTCCTCGGGAAGCCCCGGTCGTGGTCACGATGGCTGCTGCTTGTCCAAGCTGCTCGTCTGGTTGGTGATGGCGGCTACCCCACGCTTCGTTCTGTGATTGGTCCGCGGCCGTCAGCCACCACGAAATCGCCAAGACTTAGAGTCAGAGAAGGGCAGGGTTACAGCGCCAACAGCAGCCCTCAGAGTGCAACTGCTAGAGGCTTTTCAAGTATGGATGGCGGAGGAGAATCTGGACAGCCAGCCGCTTCCGGAGCTGGCACGATGGGATCCCATTCAGCTAGCAACGGTCCTCGAAGAGTCTGGCCGAGCTGTACGAACAGGGAGCTACGAGGAGCAATTATGTGGAGACCATCAACGCGATTCTTCAACGATTCCCATATCTGAAAAGCTTTCTGGCGGGTCCGTGGAAGTTGCTCACCACGTGGGAGAGTTTGTGGCCGGGAAAAGTTCATCCTCCCATGCCGCTGCCACTTCTCAAAGCGCTGGTAACCACGGCTCTGGCTTGGCAGTGGACCAGGTTTGCAATGGTCTTGTTGCTAAGCTTCTTCGGCTTCGTTGCGACCCTGCGAAGTCATTGCTCTGAGGGTGAAAGATTGCTTGCTGGCTTCAGAGACGGCATGCCGGGATGCAATCTTCCTGCGCCTGTAGTTGGTCAGAAGCAGGACAAGAGGAGCACGGATGCAAGGCGTTCGCATCGACGTACCATACGTAGAAGATTTTCTAAAGAAGTGTTTCGCCATGGTGAAACGTCGTCTTCAGCAAACACTTCAGGCAGTCACTGACCTGCCTCACTTGTGTGTCCCAAGTTCTTTAAGAGCAGGAGGAGCGTCGTTTTTCATCAGAGAATGGCAGGAAGATGTGCCCAGACTCCAATGAAGAGGACGCTGGCTGCATTTCAAAACCCTGGCTCACTACATTCAAGAGCTGGGGTGTTGGAAAATTCTTGAACAGTTGACGCCTGCAGCCAGGTCCCGAGTGCAATGTCTGTTAGGCCAGACCAGTCGGCTTGCAAAGAGATTGTGCTGAAGGCCGACTTGCCTTCTAAAGTCCACCGGTTATGCATGCTCCTGAAACAGCAGCAGCACCAGGGCATTCCATGATATCTTTCTGTAGTCCCGCCCGCCTGCCTGAGTTGATTGGGTAAGAAGCTAGCACATGTGCTTCGTGTTCAGCTGTGCTTCACTGTGAATCCTCCGCTGTATGCTGCGTGAAAAGGGGCAAGACCTCAGTGACAATGTGAGTGGCATGAACAAGCATGCCTAACCCCCCACTCCAAACTGCCCTGAATCTTAAAGCGCAAATAAAGCAATAACACGCCCCAAGAACTCGTAGGTGCTCGGGCTTTGTCCGGCTCTCATCCTCGTCCAGCGCCCCGGCGGAAAGAAATCTAGTTTTATTGTTCTCGTCCGGGGGGGATGGGTGCTGAGCATTTCTTAAGGAATAGTAGGCTGGGTTGAGATGTGTTTAGATGTTGCTTTGGGTTTGGTCATGATGTCTTTGTGTGTTGTGTTTTTGTTGTTTGTCATTCAGGGTTGTGGCATGAGGATTTCACACATGCTCGGCATTCGCGTCCTAGTTTTTTGAAGTTTGGCGTGGGCGTTGGTGGCGTTAAGGTGCATGCGGTGTTCATGTTTTGAGTTTCTTTGGGGTCGTGCAGGCAGTTGTGTCAGCACCGATGTCACCCGACCCGTGAGATCAAGACTGCCGTAGCTAGCCGATTGTTTGCTGGTATGGGAATGTCCGCGGAACCCCTAAGCTCCAGGACTCGTCGGTCTGAGTGATGGGGCTGCGGGTTCAGGTTTGCCAGCGGCGCCAAAGATGCGGCGCTGCTGACCCAGGCGAACGAGGCACATGCCGTTTCGCTCTACACTGACGACGCGCCAGCAAGCTTTCGAAACAAAGCGAGCCCCTGATGGCCGGTGGGAACTGCAAGCGCAGCCTCGAAAACTCAACGACTCTTCGTATGGACCCTGGGATCTATAAAGCACCAGAGGGTTCTGGAGTTCAACGGGAGTCCCAGGACCTGAGCTTGGGATTCAGAGCACAGGGTCTCCGAGTGTGTCGCGGAGGCTTTCGACGCCGTTCTGCGTGCTCTGCTGCTTGACGTTTCAGAGCGAACTTTACCTTTTTAGAGGAGCGGTAACACGGGGTGACAGAGTATGATTCAGTATGATTCGTACGCGTTGCCATTCACCGGGGGCCGACACTAAAGCTAAGGATTTGGGACCCCAGCCCCAACAAGCTGGTGTAGGGCTCAGGGTGAGGGTTTTAGGTTCAGAATTGACAGCATGAATTCACAGCGTGGAGCGAGGCAGCTGTCCTGGCGTGACGTTGCAAGCCCATAGAAGCAAGTTCAGAGGTGAGGGTTTAGAGTTCAGGGAGTGCAAGGGATGTCAGCTTTACGCTGTCTGGGACAGGGTCTGCACTTGCGTGCTGATAGGCTTAGCACTGCGAAGACCCTGAGACCCAAAACCCTAAACCACGCAACTCACAGGGCTCACACCCTAAACGTCAAGCATCCTAAACCCTGAAAATTTATGTGTTGAGGCCCCAGAGCCACTTCCCCGAGATTTGACTTGCGGATCTCCCGCGAAAGACGAGAGTGTCGAAGCCCAGGCCGAAAACGAAAGCCTGAAACCCGAAATCCGAATCTCGAAACCCTGAACCCTTTTCACCTGCATAGAACCTTCACAGAAGCGTATAAAGCTTTTGCAAAGCACCCTTTTTCCAAGCTCCCCCATGTGTGTGTGTGATGATCGTAGCATTATATACCCAAGTACTTCTTCAAAACTTTATAAACTATAACGGTCCCTATTCCCTGTACTACAACCCTGTTCTCACCTGTTAAGAACCTTCATAGACAGTTTCTTTCAGCAGCCCTTTGAAAGGAACCCCGTTCTAACTCTTAGGTCTTAAGGTCCTTCTAACAGCACAAGCCCTGATGTAAAAATGGTCCCTCTAACAGTGCATCCCTTAAAAAATTCTCGAACTTCTCAACCCCAAAACAAAAGCCATATAAGTAAGAATTGCTTGAAGGCCCCTCTCAGGCTCCCGGCTTGCTTTTTGCGGATAAGTCCTAGCCCCAAGCCCTGAAGCTTGCATGGCCCAGGTTGCTTTTTGCGGATAATTGCTCAGACTTCTCGCGGCTCACGGCCGTTGCTCAAGAGTGGCTTGGATATTTTAGCGCTTAGGGTTTAGGTTCCATGATCTTTCAGGGTCTTGCGGGTGAAGGGGTGTTGGCTTGAGGGTCGGAAGTTCTTAGAGATGGGTCCGTTGTTTGTTTACGGTTTTATAGGGTTAATGAGGGCGAAATAGGGTGTATTTTTTGGGGTGTGTGTGTGTGTGTGTGTGTTCGGCCGTGTGTTCGTGTTTCAAAGGAAGTGCAAGGGGATATCATTCTCAAATGTTTCAATCCTATGTGTGAGCGTCTACCGCATTGGGGGCTTCGGGTATGGCAGAAAGCTTTCGCGGCGTTTTTCAGAAGGACCCTATTCCACCCCATGCACCGCGAGGCTTTTCATATACCACCGGGAGCAGCTGGAGGCGAAAAACGCGGAGTCGGAGATTCTGGTGCAACCTGCCGAGGACTGTTTTGTAAATATTTTGGGATTTGTTTTCTCGATGTACGTGTGTTTGCGTGTGTGTGTGTGTGTGAGGTGTGCCGTATATATATATATATATATATATATTGTGTTTGGCTACTTCGATGCTTTAGGTCCACTTTAGGTTGCTCTTTGCATTCGGGAGAATACATGATGCACGGAGCGAAGGACATCCCAAAGCAGCTGCGCACATGTTCTTAAGCTCTGACTCGATGTCCTCAATGCTATATTCTCTGCGATGCCCCGACCCCCCCAACCCTAAACCCTCTCACCCTCGATACAGCCCAAACCCTAGAACGCTCAACCCTCTTAATTCTAACGCACTAACCCCAGGCGGGCCCCTAAACCCTAAACCCCTAAGCTGAAGCCAAAAACCCCTGAGCCCTGCAAGCCCTAAACCCCCGGCGAAGGAGGCATCCGGATCCTGGCTAGAGGTCACAGGGCTAACGTGCCGCGTCTTCAAAGATGGGACGATCTAGGGAAGGCGATTTTTGGGTTCTGGGCTTTAGGCTTTAAAGTTCAGGGTCCAATTTTCGAAAAGGTCTTAGGGTTTGGGTTTGGGCAGACTTCCGTTTGAAAACTAGGTTAAAAATGCATGCCTTCAAATTTCTTATAAGGGCCCTGCCTTCTAAAGGCCCCCGAAACAACTGGGCCTTCGTTCCTGAGGCCGAACAGTCCAAGCAAAAGCACCAGTCGGCGAACTGCTAGACGTGAAGTCATGCTGGAAACCTACATCCACACTCACACTGAGCTTTATGGCCCAGTTGATATCTATCTGTCTATCTGTCTGCCTGTGTACCTACCTATCTATCTATCTATCTATCTATCTATCTATCTCTGTCTCTCTATCTATCTATCTATCTATCTATCTATTTATCTATCTATCTATCTATCTATCTATCTATCTATCTATGCATGCATGCATGCATGCATGCAAGCATCTGTGTCTGTGCTTATGTATGCATGCATGCATGTATGCAAGCATTTATGTCTGTCTGTGTGTATGTATGTATGTATGTATGTATGTATGTATGTATGTATGTATGTATGTATGATATATATATATATATATGTATATGTATATGTATATGTATATGCAGTCTTCAGTTCTTGCCTTGCCAGTGTAGGCCAGGTCTTTAGGACTTTGGGGCTGCCAGGGCTTCGG